ATCGTCTTGTGTCGCCAACGAATCAAAATATATTTTGGCGACTGTGGGGCATTTCTCGCACAAAACTTTTAAATAATGAGGCGACAGTTTGGTCAATATCTTGGGCACCTCTTCCAGTATGAAGTGATTGCTGCAGTGGCTGAGGAACTTTATGGCGAACTCAAACGAGTTCTGTTTGTAGTACTCATAGAACTCCTGGCACTTGGCGGGATCTCGGAGGTTGATGTACAGCCAGTGCTTCATCTTGGAGACTGCTGGGAAAATCATTTCAGGGAAGAGAGTGTTTTCCAAATATATAGGATTAATGATGTCATGGCGGTCTAGCAGCCACTGGGCCTTTAGAGCTCTGCTCACAAATAGCATGTCATCGTGTTTCAGGTTCCGTAGGATGTAGTCTGCGTCTCTGAGTGCCACGGCGAGGTCTATCTTGAACAGTCGGTCGACTGGAGACTGCTCGGGTACTGCTTCCACATCGTGGACCGTGGTTCCACTCTCTCTAGCCGCGCGCACCAACGAGTTGAGGTGTCGGTGCCGTTGGCCTAAATTGTCTCCCAACAACGTGACTGGTGGATATGGAGCCATCTGTTGATAGATATGGAAGTCTTAAAAACAGAATTCTTCTAAAACAACATCGCGTTAGGTATTACTTTTGAGTTTTTTTTAAATTGAACGTTATATGTGGTTTTTTAGCCACTTGGCAGATTGTTTTGTAACAAACCAATTTGGTTGGCACACATACCTATGTGCACAACTGTAGCTGTGCATACAAATATTCAAGTATAAATTAAACTTTATTAAATTATTGATTACGAACATTTTGTAATACTTTAATCAGCTCAAATCGTCACTCAAGACTTGAGATAAGATTAGGGTGAAAGCAAAATGTTTTTAAATATCATTGATGCACAGGAAAAAAATTTTAATTGTTATACATTTATATTTGTACGTAAAACTCTGGATTCGGGGAAAATTGCGTTATGTCATGTTTATAAAAACAGTGGTCAATATTAGTGCGTGAGTCATCTAACTCAACAAAAAAGACTTACCGTGTAATCAATGGCTTAGAAATCAGGAATATTATATTTGTTTATGAGCTGGTTTCAATTTAATTGTAGATAATGAATGGACGGATACATAAATAAAGTACCGGCAAGTTGTAGGCAAAACACAGCTGCACGGTACCGTATAGTTTGTACAATCTACACTGTGCCACAGAGTACAGACCACTCACGGTAGAGCTAGGTATATCAAGACCTTGAGTTCAAGTATTGTGTTCCCTTCTTCGTTCAATCACTCTTTTATTCAATTCGTTCACTGTTCAATATTTCGCTACCATAGATTTTTTTTTTTTTTTTTTTGTTTTCTGCAACTTGGCAATCTGTGTCAACACAATAAGCCATTCAGATGGTGTGTCTTGATTTCTATCTTGTCAACAGCAGAAGAAATTCCTTGTGAATCCCTTTCATCTGGTATCACCAAATCTCACGGTAAGTGTAGGGACACTATGCCTTTTCAATCTGGAGTGTGTGATACTTCCTGTACCAACTAGTTTTGATGTTAGCTCATTGACATGAGTTGATATTCTCGTCTGATAGCTCTCGCTGTATCTAGCGATCTCTTGTTTGACGGTGGCGATCTTTAGATCCTCGTGTATATATTTGTTGCTCACGTAGTAGGGGATGTTTAGCATGGCTCTCAATGTCTTGCTTTGGAATCTTTCGAGAATCTCTATGTTGCTATTGCTAGCAGTGCCCCACAGCTGGATTCCGTATGTCCAGATTGGTTTGAGAATAGACTTATAAATAGCTATCTTGCTTTCGTAAGAGAGGTTCGATTTGCGGCCTATTAACCAGTACATCGATCTGACCTTCATGTCTAACTGTTTACGCTTGGTCCAGATATGCTTTTTCCAGGTGAGTCTTTTGTCAAGATGCATACCCAGGTATTTAGCATCTTCAGCCTGAGGAACTTCCTCATTGTAGATTCTTATTGGGGGACAGGTCCGTCTTCTCAGGGTAAAGGTTACATGAACAGATTTCCCTTGATTGACCCTAATACGCCAATTATCCATCCATTTTTCTACCTCATGGATATGGTTTTGTATATTGGCTGATGCTATGTCAGGATCCTCGTGAACTGATAGAAGAGCTGTGTCATCTGCGTAGGTGGCAGTTATGGTATCAGTATGTGTTGGAAGATCTGCGGTAAAAATTAGGTACAGAACTGGCCCCAATATACTCCCCTGCGGTACTCCTGAAAGTATTTTATTTAATTGAGTGACTTCGCTATTAAATTTCACTTCAAAGCACCTGTCGTATAGGTATGACTGAAGGATCGGATAGAAGGAGTGAGGTAGGAGTTTTTTAATTTTGAAGAGCAGTCCCTCATGCCACACTCTGTCGAACGCCTGACTAATATCCAGGAAGACGGCAGAGCAGAATTGTTTGTGTTCTAGTGCACGACTTATAGTGTCCGTAATACGGTGTATCTGCTCGATGGTTCCATGTTGCTCTCGGAAGCCAAACTGGTGGAGAGGAATAACTTCCGGTAGATATGGGCGTATCCTGTTCAGCAATATCTTTTCAAGGAGTTTACCCAGTACAGGGAGCAGGCTTATTGGTCTGTAGGAGCTTGCTTCGTGGAGGGGTTTGCCTGGTTTGGGTATCATTATAACTTGCGCAATTTTCCACTGAGCCGGGTAAACAGCTAGCCTTAGACAGGAATTAAAAATGGCCGCGATGTGGATAATGCCCTTTCTGGGCAGCTCCTTGAGTAGTTGAGCGTCGATTGAGTCGTAGCCTGGTGCTTTGCCGTTCTGTAGTTTCAAGACCTCCCGCCATATTTCGTTGGGGCTGGCGCTATTTAGTGGTAGACTCATCTGCATTGGTGTGTCTAAATATTCAGAGACTTCTCTGTCGTGTTCCAGATTCTTGCTGGGCATGGGACTGAAGATGGTTTTAAGGTGTTCTGCGTACACTTGGGCCTTAGCAAGTTCTGTTTTTGCCCACTTGCCATCAGGAGCCTTTATGGGTGGTATGTGTTCTTTCGGTCGCTTGAACCTTTTTGTTATCTTCCATAATGAATAACTAGTATCTTTGTTAGGAGTAAGTTCAGCCAGTTGTTTTTGGAGACGCTCATTTGCTGCCTGAGAGATTATGCGTTTGAGTTCCTCAGAGGCCCTGTTGAAAGCTTTTTTATCGCAGGGATATTTTGTAGTATGCCATTTTTTTCGTAGTAGTCTTCTTTCGTTAACTTTGTCTTTTATAAATTTAGGGAAGTGGACATATTGTGTTGTTTTCTGCCTTATAAAGGGTGTCGATTCTTCGGCAGCTAAGTGAATAAGCTTATTTAAATTTTCAATGGCTAATTCGACGCTATCTGCGTTATGCAATGGCGAGTTTAATTGAATGGATTCCGATATTCTGGTTCTGTATTTGTCCCAGTCTTTTTTGTGGTTATATAGCCTTTGAGTGTACTCAGTCAGAATGGCCCGACAGTGAATATTTATAATTACTGGTGTGTGGTCTGACGACAGGTCAGTGCATTCTTCTACGTTTATTTGTCTGAGCGGGATGTTTTTGGTCACGAAAAAGTCCAACAGGTCCGGTACCTTATGTGGGTCCGCAGGCCAGTACGTAGGGGCACCATGTGAAGCGCAGTGAAGGTTAAGGTTGTTCGTAGCTGCATACAGTTGGCGACCTCGTGTTGTGGTTAGCCTGGAGCCCCAGAAAACATGTTTAGCATTCCAGTCTCCGCCACAAATGAATCTGTTTCCTAGTGTTTTAAAGTAAGTCTCGAATTCATCACTTGTAATAGTATGCCTAGGTGGACAGTAAATAGCAGACACTGTTGTTTCCGTCTTGGTATCTTGGATTCTGATCGAGGTTGCTTGTATCTTTTCATTTATACTTTCCCCAAAAACATAATGTTTAATGTTCTCCTTTATTATGATCGCAGTTCCTCCATGTGAATTACCAGAAGGGTGGTTTGTGGTGTACACTATATAATTTTTAAGTTCAAAATGGGTTTTTGGTGTAAACCTTGTTTCGGAGATCAAAGCTACGTCGACTCTCTCAAGTTTCATGAAAAGATCAAGCTCTTGTCGACGCTCTGTTAGCCCGTTGGCATTCCAGGTGATTATTCGGAGGTTTAGGGGAGCTTTATAAGGCTAGTGATTAATTGGATCATACGATCCATCATGTTGTCTAACATAATGTTTATAATGTTTTGAAATTTATTAAACATGGCGTCAAGCACTTCCCCGAAATTATTTGGGTCCTTGATGTTGGTAGGCGGTTCTGTTGTCTTTGTTTGCTTTGTCACCTGAGCATATGTGATGTTTGGTTTCGAATGATGGTGTAGATTTTGGTTCTTGGTTTGATGATGAATAGAATGTGAAGTTTGTGTTGGACTTTTGCGATATTGTTCTTTTGCTATGCTGTTTGTGTTTTCTTTAGTTTCTTTATCTTTTCCTGTCTTATTTTTTGTAAGTAGGTCTTTGTATTGCTTATATTTTGGGCATCCCTTGTAGCTAGCTGGATGCTTCTCTTGGCAGTTGGCACATGTGGCCTCGGTATCCGGTGTTTTTAGACAGCTTGTTGTTGAGTGCTCTTCCCCACATTTTACACATCTAAACGGTCTGTTACATTGATTTTTTGCGTACTTAGGGGGGTGGAGTGGTTCGCGTCCGTAGGATAGTTACCTGAAGAAAACCCTACACGTGCCCCCCGGGTGGTGCTAAACGAACCCCAACGCCGAGTCTTGAGCGGCGGTCAACTAACTCGACTTAACTGGCCTAACCAGCTAGTTAACAGTGGGTATTAGGAAATGCATACCCACACCCGCAACCGCTATTCTGCGATCGGGAGCCTTGGCTTAGTTGCCTGGGCTGAGAGGAAGAATACCTCTATAAAATAATCACCCTAATTCCACGGTGGGACACGTGCCAACGGAATGCATGACTGGTGGGAGATCAGTATCGAGCGCCAACCTCGACGGACATGGCAAACGTCGTTGGAGATCGCCTTCTTGAGGGAATGGGCGTCACCCTTCAAGTGACCTTTTATATCGACCCTACTCGTGGGAACAGAATGAATCCAGAAAAAGAAAACCAAAACAAACCAAAAATGACACAGCAACTACTCCAAAAAAGCATGTTTGCACGTGCTAGGAGCCACTCACTAGAAACCTTACCAAATGAACCACCAAAAATAATAAACCCGAACGTTAAGGGGAATGAGAAATCAAACCCATCTGCTATAATCGACGAACAAGGCAAAAAACAAAATCTACCCTGGCAAAACGATCAGGTTCCTATAAAAAGAAAAGCTGATTCTAGCCCTGAATGGGTAAAGAAACATAGTAAGTTAAACAAAACAACGTACGCAGTTACCACGGAAAACAGATTCGAAATTTTGGAGTCAGAAAATAATGACGAACCCAGTCAACAACCTAAGACACCTAAACCGCCAAAGCCAGAACCCATATTCGTCACTGGAGTCATAGATATAACGAAATTAAAAGAACTCCTTTCCTCAATTGCAAACGCTGACAAATATACTATAACAACTCTGAGGTCAGGACACATAGTAAAAATAATGCCTGGTGACGTAGACAGTTACAAAACTATAAGAGATAATTTTATAGAAAATAACGTCAGTCATTACACATATAAACTCAAAAGCGAGAGAGCCTATAGAGTGGTGTTACGGGGTTTGCATTCTTCGGAAGACACAGATTGCATAAAGAAAGAACTTTTCGAACTCGGACATGAAGTCCGGCACATCACAAATGTAAGGCATAAAAGTACTAAACATCCTCTACCCTTATTCTATGTTGATCTTGAGCCGAAACAAAACAACAAAGAAATCTTTAAAATAAATAAGATAAACTATGTAAAAGTCTCATTCGAAGCGCCATACAAAAAGCTAAACATTTTGCAATGTAAAAGATGTCAAAGATTTGGACACGCAAAAAATCAATGCTACCATAGATAACAAAGATTTTTCCAAATATTATTCTACTTCATTTGTTAGGTATGTTATTAATATTGTATTCTCTATTTTAAGTTAACGGTATTATTAATTCTTTAATGCCATGATACCAAAAAAAAAAAACAAATTCCCTAAATGAATGAAACCTGGAGAGTGGTAAGTAGTAAATTAACTCCTGTGCGAAGCGAGGGCAGGCCACCAGTACACGAACTACTCATAAGTACAGTAACATACAATAGTACCGAATGAACTTCTGTGTCATGAGAAAATTCGCAAAAAAGTCAAATATTTTACACAATCTAAAATCAGGACAAAAATAAGATACAATTTATTTAAACGATAATATAATTTATTTACAGAGGTACAAGAAACAAATTATAAAATAGAAAACAACAATATCTTGTTAAAATTTAAATTTTGCAAAACAAATGCTACGTTACATAATTGGCTTATTAATTAAACAATTCTGCATGTACAAAAACCTCCATGGATTTATCCTGAATTAATACACGTTCTAACTCTTGTCTAGCTTCATTTTTCACGTCATGAGAGCGGTCTTTCAACACATACACCACCATACGCCGCTCAGTACCTTCTGCACCTGCCAACATTCCTTTCAATAGTGACTCTATGAACTTGCCTCTGGAACTGCCATCAGCAAAATCTCCTAAGTAATCCACAAGGGGTCCTGTGTAAAGTTCTATTATAGAGTCGAAGTACGTAGTGACCAGTTCAGCAACCTCTTTCGCTATGTACCTCCCAAACACAAAGCCCACAGCCTCCACGCCTTCCGTCCTCTTCCTCTTCGGGTCAGTGAACACTTCTGGCATCTGTTTCATGCTCTGCCTAACTGCTTTGAAGTATAACATAGTCAGATGTATCTGCACATATTTCGGAAAGTTTTCTTCTTTTGGTAGCAAAGTCTGAAGCCAGGTTAATATCTTCTCAATAACTGACAAACACAATGAATATTTATTGTCCAGAAACGCTGCATTGTATTTTAAACTATTAATAGTTTGATGCAGTCTTTTTTTGAAGACTGAGGTCTTGTCACAACGTAGACTACTTAAGCATTCTAAAAACCGAACTCCAATTTTAGTAAATCTGCTCTCTAAATCTTCGTCATTTGTAGACAACATAAGGTACCTCACTATCATTGCAGGATATGGAAGCGGTACTACATCTTCTCCTGTCTTCTCAAACAACCAAGTTAAAACAGTTTCAATTGTATCAACTTCTACTTCAGGAAGAAGTATACATAATTCACGTAAGAGGACTTCAGAACCTTCGTCTAAAATTTTTTCACATACAAAATATAAAGTTGAACAATAATCAGGTTTGATTGCAGATGGAATCCATTGGATTCTTTTTAATGAATTTCGAAGTCTTTTTTTGGATGACAGGTCAACATTGGAAAGCAGAGGTTTTATTATTTTCCATACACCGACATCAGCATTGGTGTCGTAATGTCGGAAATAACGCAACGCTACGCGCAGTGCTGCAACAGGCCGCAATTTCGCTGCTGATGTGAAAGTGTCTAGCACTGGTTCTCCTTCAGAGCGCAAATTGAGTGCTAGGGCCACCCGAACTGTGCGCCGATCCATTGCTAATGTGTGGATAAACTCAGCTTTTTCTATTTCACGACAGCGCATCGCTTGTGTTGCCACTGCCTTCGCGCCAGCTCTACTCCACCCCCATTTTGCTAAATTGACGACAGGCCGGGCGCGATGTGCGCAAGCCCTTAGCGCTGCTCGTAAAGTGTCATTCTTTTTCTCAATTGCATCCACTTCAGACAAAATTTTTTCGAAATCTTGGTACGATAGACAAACCAGGGGTCGCGCTTGTTTTATTATATTACCTTTCTCGTTGACCTCTGAGGCGATCTTCTCTCGTAATGCAGTTCTGAAGTATACTGGAAGCTGTTCATTTTGTGTAAAATATATTACTAATTTAGAAATGAATCTGTCGAATTTTTTTCCTCCTCTGGCTATTATATTTACAATTTGCTCAGTTTCAAGGGCTGAAAGGTCATGACGAAGCGCGTTCAATAAGGCCGCCTCATCGCAACGTAACTTTAAATTTTCGCGAAGCAGTTCTTGTCGTCCGATTTTTGCTTTATATAGACGCTCTATTAATGGACGTACAACATCTTCGTCACTTAATGCTAAGCTTTTAATTATTTCAATAACAGGATATACTGTCTGAATTTGAATGCCATAAACTTCTATAACATCAAGCAGCTGATTGAGACGATCCACCGCTTTAGCTGGCTCCATGCCTGCCGCAGCCGCTACTAACAAGTTTTGGAGACCTACTGCAATACGCAGTCTTTCCTCCACTTTTAAAGAGTACTCTTTTAATGAGGAAAAATTGTTAAGAAAAGCATTTATGATCGTTGGTTCGCACTCGCCTGCTAATAACTGACGAATTACAACTGCATGCAGACCCTCGTAACATGCTGCTTCAGAGGGAGCTCCGTCGAGCCCTAGCCCGCGTCCGAAATTTAACAAGTTTTGCCAAACATCTGCAGGTAGTCGCCACACAGCAGCTCGTTTTACAAGACTGCGCACAACGGCAGCACGAATATGAACCGGTTCGTTGCTGTGGCGCGCAGCTAGTTGTAATAGAGCTGATACCGCGTCATTGCGTCCACCGGTTTTGCTTATTAAAACTAGGAAGATATCTCGTCGCCTATCAGCAGAACCAGTAGATTTTAACCGTTGTCCTAAATCGTGTAGAGCCCGGTCGAAACCAATGAAACGAAATTCATCAAACAATCGCTGTAAGTCTGTTTTCATGTTATTTTCGACAGTCATAATGTCACATGCCATATATCGTCCACACTTTCTCTTTTTTAACATGCGTTTAAATTCAAACTGAGCAGGTGTAAAAGGTGTATAATTTATGTCGTCAAATACGTTAGATGAAGTATCTGATTGCGGAGGTGACTTCGGTGTTGGGTATGGCCATTCCTGTATGCATTCTCCAATATCCTTTGAAACAAATATTATTTTCTTGAATGCCGCTCTCTTTTGAGGATGTAGACGCTTGATCAACGGTTCTACTGCTTTGTACTGGAACCAATACTGCAAGTAGCTAGCTCGTGCTAGCTGCAACACAACGTCCTGGCACTCATCTACACTGAGTCTTGCAGCCAGAGTCGGAATATGCAATATGTGGGCCACGTACAGCCCCAGCTTATTTATGACTCTAGACTTGTGATACCGCACAATGTAGTCAGTCGCCAGTGGACTGAATCTCGTAAACTTATTAAAACTGAAATACTTCTCTGTGATGTCGAGAAACACATCAGTATCCGATTTCAATACGCATTTGATACTGTTGTAGTATGACTGTTCTTGATCGAGATAACGGTTCTTAACATCGTCTTGTGTCGCCAACGAATCAAAATATATTTTGGCGACTGTGGGGCATTTCTCGCACAAAATTTTTAAATAATGAGGCGACAGTTTGGTCAATATCTTGGGCACCTCTTCCAGTATGAAGTGATTGCTGCAGTGGCTGAAGAACTTTATGGCGAACTCAAACGAGTTCTGTTTGTAGTACTCATAGAACTCTTGGCACTTGGCGGGATCTCGGAGGTTGATGTACAGCCAGTGCTTCATCTTGGAGACTGCTGGGAAAATCATTTCAGGGAAGAGAGTGTTTTCCAAATATTTAGGGTTAATGATGTCATGGCGGTCTAGCAGCCACCGGGCCTTCAGAGCTCTGCTCACAAATAGCATGTCATCGTGTTTCAGGTTCCGTAGGATGTAGTCTGCGTCTCCGAGTGACACGGCGAGGTCTATCTTGAATAGTCGGTCGACTGGAGACTGCTCGGGTACTGCTTCCACATCTTGGACCGTGGTTCCACTCTCTCTAGCCGCGCGCACCAACGAGTTGAGGTGTCGGTGCCGTTGGCCTAGAGTGTCTCCCAACAACTTTACTGGTGTATTTTCAGCCATCTGTGAATAATAAACAATCGATATAATTCGGTATCGTACTTTAATTGAAATTGGTTACCGAATTTAGGTACATGTGAAATAAAAAGAAGTAGGTAGACTATTTTTATACAATTTTTTTTATACTTTTTTATTTTTATACTTTTTTGTCTTATAAACCATAATATTTTAAAACTCCGAAAAAATAGGCAAACGCTTTATTTTTCTCATTTATAATATTATGTTATATATGTCTAACTTTGTTAGAGTTTAATAATATTTCTAACATACAATACATATACAGATACAATACATATACCTATACAGATTATGGTATTCAGACTCATTTTAGATCTGAAAGACTAGCTCCGCTATTAAAAAGAGCGCGTAGGTGGCATAAATATAAAAATATCCACCACCATATTTTTATGTCTCTTGCATCATTTTAGTTTTTGACATTACAAGTAAATAAGCACCTATTAGATCGTTTTATACACTTTGATAGGTAATTAACATAGCAGTGAATAATATACAAATATATTATCAGACTTGAAACTGAACATCTTAATAGCCCTTGCGCGTAGTGTCATTTTCAGGATTTTATAACAGCATTTGATTGTTTATTCCTAACAAATTAATCATACCTTTAGATAGATAAGTAACTTCTTAAGTTCTTACCTTCAATTATTAAATAATTATCTTCATAGTGTTCTGTTGGGATAGGTATCACACAACACTAACTAGCTCTAGAGCTGTATTGCCGTCTAAACCGAGCAAAAATAAATACACTTTCCTCTTATTTGACCTTGATATACTTTTAGACATGTTCTGTGATTCCTAGTGTTAGACGACGAAAATCAACTAAATGACGTCACTAGTTTAATCTGTATTATCGACAGCACTAGCTGTCACGTTGACGATGTCAAATGTGACAGATTAGTAAAGTTTCCCGCGCAATGAGTTGTCGTTCCATTCTGGTGCGAAGTTTGATCAAGTTTGACGAGCATCACGCTGTGTTCTTTTAAACTGTCAAATACCAAGCGGTCACCGGTGACCGCGACC